GGAGGTAATTCAGGATTTGGATTGTGGAGAGAGAATGGAGTTAGAAATACAAATTTGGGGAGTATCTGTGGAGAGATCACAGGATTATAGATAGAGAGATGTAAAGAACCTTCAAAATAATTTAGTCCAACCAACCCCCCCTTCTTTTGTAGTTGAGGAAACTGAGCTCCAAAGAAATTAAGTGACTTGACCAAGGCCACACAAGTAGTAGTTGTCAGAACTGGAATTTGAGTCCAGATTTTCTTACTTCAAGTCCAGAAAACTAATAAGATAACCAATGGAGAAAGTGTAGATAGAAAAGAAAAGAGAACCCAAGACAGAGATTTGGGGATCAGGAAAAGGACTGGTCCAATAGGTATTAGGACCCAGATGTCTCCCAATCCCTAACATACAGTATTACAATTCCAAATGGAAGCACTCTTTCTCAATGGCTTTTTTCTTGTGGGGTTTTTTTTTTGGTTTTTTGTTTTTTTTAGGCAATTGGGGTTAAGTGACTTGCCCAAGATCACACAGCTAGTAAGTGTCAAGTGCTTGGTCTGAGTCCGGATTCAATGGCTTTTTTTCTTAAGTCCACATATAGTTTAGCCCTACTCCTTGTCAGGCCCAGTCTACTGGGTCCACTGGAGATCTTGGAAATGAAAGGTTGCATGGTGTGGTAGTTAGGATACTACACTTAGAGTCAGAAAGATCTAGGCTCAAATTCTGCCTCAGATACTTACTATTTATGTGAAGTCACTTAGCGTCTCTGTGCCTCAGTGTCCTCATCTGCAAAATGAGAGGGTTGGACTTGATAGCCCTTAAAGTCATTTCTAGCTCTACATCTAGGATCCTATGAATGACGGCCCCCCTCCACATACAAGTTTTCAAACTTTTTCTCTAAAATTCTACCTCTTTAATTTAACTGAATCCAAAATTTCTCCTGATGACATCACATCCATCTCTTCTTTCCCACTCTGTTGGAGACCACTCCTTCCAATAACCCTGCACCATTGCTGGAATTTGCTCCCAGGTTTCTCACTTGGTTTGCTCCTTGCTGCTCACTTTTGCTTTTAAAAGAAGCGGTTTTTCCTGTTCTTCAAAATTTACAGAATCAGATTATTCCACTCTCTCCTCAATCTACTAAACTCCCGGTTAATCTCTTCACTTTCTCAGTAACTTTAGAATCTAGTTTACCATCTTGTTCTCCAGCCCACTCTTTGCTAATATCCTTGGGGTTTTTAATATTTTGTTTGTAGTAATTCTCTTCTGCCAGAAGTGTTTATGGTGATTCTCTTTCCCTCCTCCAACTATATCTCCTAGAAGGCTTTAGGGGTCAGAGAGTACTTGAGTTCTGAAGAAATATTACCAGGGGCCCTTGAGAAAAGATGCATATATTTGTCTGGGCACAGGACTTTCAAGGTGAAGGGTAGAGAAATGGAGGACACAGGGAGAGAAAAATCTCTTTCCACGCCTTGATCTATCTGTGCCTGGTTAAAACAAAAACCTTCTATTTTCTATTAGTAGAAAAGCCAGGAGGTATGAGCAATAGACTGAGTGAGACTGGGTTCAGCTCAGCTGATGGGGAATAGCACTGTCCAGACAAGCTGAGAAAGAATAGTATTAGCATTTTGTGGGACAAGGTCATGGTGCTTGCTGTTATTACAGTGATTGGTGAGAATTCTGGGGGTGGACTTCATGAGGAGAAGACATATTTTTCTCCCTGCACTCAAAGATATGTATTAAGTCCCCAAACTTTGGTGCTTGTTTCTGGATTGAAAGCCAGTGATAACGGAATTCTGCCCTGATCAGGGAAAGGGGAAATTGAGATGTTTACTACTTTTTATACAGGACAGCATGCTTACTGCTACAAGGTGGTACGATGGATAGAGCACTGGACCTGAAAGAACTCAGAAAGATCTGAGTTCAGATTTGGCCTTGGACACTTATCAGCTGTGTGACCCTGGACAAGTTGCTTAATCCTATTTGCCTCATCTCTAAAATGAACTGCAGAAGGAAATGGCAAACCATTCCAGTGTCTTTGCCAAGAAAACCTCAAATAAGAAGCAGACATGACTGAAATAACTGAACAACAATTCTGAAACCCGTCATCTGCTTTCTCTACTCCTGAGTTACTAAGTATCGCTAGAGATGGTCACGAAACTGTGGTGATTGCGCCCCCTATACATTTATGTCATGTTACTTCAGCTGGGTCCTCATTACTGCTTGGAAATCTTTCTATTTTACACTTCTTGATTCCCCCCTTAACGTATCACATGAAATGCTCCAAAAGTTTTTATTCTCTCCTCTCCCCTGCTCTCTTCTCACCTACTTGTGCCTTTATCCTTAAACTTTATAACAGATGATTTAAAAACCTAGTTTATTGAGAAGACTGTGGCCATCTGATGGGAATTGCCTTAGATCCCCTCCTCAGCACCCCTCCTTCACTCCTCAAAATCTTTCAGCACAATCTCCTCTTTTTTTCTTTATTCTTGTTCCAAAGGAAAATATGTCTCTACACCTTCTAAGGTGTAACTTCCTGCTTATACCTGTGATTGAATTTCCTCATGTCTCCTTCAAAATCTTGTTCCATCAATCATTCTCTCTCTTTTAGGTGACTTTGATACTTTCCTCTCTATTGGCTCTTAGTCAATCTACAAACATATTCAGACATAAAAATGCCTTCCTATGGCCCTTTAAGTCTGTCCCATTTCTCTTCTCCCATTTATTGTCTAATCTCTTAGGAAAGTACACTCTATTCCACATCTCAGTTTTTTAACTTTCTTCTATTCCTCTCTCAGTTCTTGGAAATCTGGCTTCTGTCTTTATTGCTTACCATCAAAATTCTAATCCTCATCTTCCATGAATTTTTGGTAACATTAGGCATTTATTGTTGACCATTTTTGACATTCTTTTGAATGTTCTTTCTTCTCTTGGCTTCTGGCATACTACCTTTTCCATTGGTTTTTTGTTTGTTTGTTTGTTTGTTTGGCTAGGCAATGGGGTTAAGTGACTTGCCCAGGGTCATACAGCTAGTAAGTGTTATGTGTCTGATGCCAGATTTGAACTCAGGTCCTCCTGAATCCAGGGCCAGTGCTCTATCCACTGTGCCACCTAGCTGCCCTCTTTGTAAGGGGGGCAGCTTTTCCATTGTAAGGGAAAAGTTTGGGAGTGAGGAGATGTGAGTTTGAATCTAATGTTTATTATCAACTTACACCCCTGCGCTTCAGTTTTCTCATCTTTAAGAAAATTATTTCATTATCTACTGCACATGGTTGTTATGAGCATTAAAATAAGTCTTAAAGTGCTATAGAAATGTGAGTTACTATTATTACTGATAAATCCAACAGGTTCACCAAGTATTTATTAAGTAACTATAAGATGTAATTCATTGTGCTAGATGTTAGGTATTCATAGATCAATTTGACACAGATCCTATTTTCTACCTATTTTTCTAGCCACTCTATGGGGGATGGGAGAAAGAAAAGCACATATTGAAAAGTCTCTGACACTGGGGAGAATGAAATAAAGACAAAAGAGAAGATTGAGCAAAGTATTTTTAGATATTTGAAGGAGAAGAGATCACTGTCACCCGAAAGAGTCAGGGAAGTTTCAGAAGAGGTGGCTTCTGAGTTGGACCCTGAAGGAAGGAGGAAAGAGTGGAAAATGAAGATGGGAGAGAGAAGAGTCCATTCCAGACTTAATCAAAGGTAAAGCTGTGAGGGGGCAGGATTATAATGATGGATAGAAAGTGTTCCAAATTGTCTGCATTGTAGAATACTTAAAAGGGAGTAATATAAAGTAAATCTGGACAGGTAGGTCGGAGCCAGATTGGGGTTGGGGTGGACGTGAGGAGGAGATAATAATTTTTACATAGAACAAAGACAAGCTGAGTTTGAGAAGGTGATAGGACATCTACATGAGGGTCTAGCATTTAAGCCAGATGTTTTAGGGCTGTTTATCTGGAGTTGGAAGTCATGTAGCTTCAAAGCTCTAAGTTGGTGCAGTGGCTAGCACACTGAGCCATGTAAATGTTAGCCATTATTATCTAGCTCCATAGCACTAAGTAGCAGGAGCAGTAGATAGAGTACTAGGCCTGGAGTCAGGAATATCTGAGTTCAAATTTTGCACCTACTTCCCAGTGTGTGGTACACAGTAGGTGCTATGTAAATGCTTATTCCCTTCCCTTTCCTTCCCTCTCCCCCTTCTGACTTCAATATTTCTGTCAGAGGAATGACTACTCTATGCAGTCTCTTATATTCAAAACTCTGGTGTTTATCTTTGACTCTTCCCTTTCCCTCAGCTCTCAAGACTAATCAAACACCAAATCGTTTCAGTTTTAACTCTGAAACATCGCTCATGCATCCCTCCTTTCTCCAGTGCAATCGTCACTTCCTAGCACAGGGCCTTCTTATTGCCTACCTGGACATTTACAATGGTAGCCAATACAACAGCAATCCTCTACCTCCCCTCTCCCCAACCTAGACTTCCCCCAGCTGCCAGGTCAATCTTCCTTTCCTTCAGATCTGATCACGTCACATTTCCCTCTCCCTCCAAAAGCTTCAAGTTCAAGCTCCACTTTAGCTTGTCATTCAAGGCTCTCCAAAATCTGGTACGGCTCTACATTTCCCAGTTTGATTTCTCTCTAAAAGCTGTCCAGCCAAGTTGGACTATTTAATCTCTGTTCCTCCACACCCCGTACGTACTTTCTTGAACAGGTATATCTTGGCTCACTATGTTCCCAATGCCCAAAATTCCAGCCTCCATCTGCATTCTCCCACCTCCTACCTTCCTACCTGGTCTTTAAAGACCAAGCTCTAAAGCTAGCTCTACCTGCTCCCTGAACCCACCGTCCGTAACAATCCACCTTCCTGGCAGAGCAGATTAGCGCTGGAGTTGGAGTCAGGAAGACTTGAGTTCAATCCTTCCTCAGATACCAGCTGTGTGACCCTGAACAAGTCGCTTATCCCCCTTTTGAGCTTCAGTTTCTTCATCTTTAACAACAGAAAAGAAACAAAATTCACCTGAGAGTGATCGTTGTAAGCGTGCAGAGAGCTCTTGGAGAAGCCGATTGACACGGGAATGGTGGAAGATGGTCAAAGAGTCGGAAGACAGAGCGGGACATAATCCGAATTCAGAACGGCTCAATAACGGGGTTGGACTCGATAGCCCCTAAGGTCCCTTCCAGCTCTAATCTAAACTGCTATGATTTTCCGTATTCACTCCTCTAGGGATTTGTGTACTTGTCACGTTCCTCTGCTCCTGTGCAAGCGTCGTGAGGGCAAGCTCAGCGTCTTGTCCCAACTTTGTGTTTCTCCTAGCGCGGTGAGTTCTCTGTCTACAGAAATCGTTTGTTCAATTGAATCGAAGACTCTGCTGCAGGGAGGGGACCTGGTTCCCACTTACCGCTCCTCCTCCCCTCTCGGGGGCCCCAGATCTGGGGGTAGAGGGTGGGGCGGAAGGAGCAAGCTGGGCTGGGGCGCGTCTGGGAATGGAGAGGGTAATCATTATAAGTGTGCACACCGCTGTCCCAGCGACCAATTTCCTCAGGAATAGTGGAAGGTCACAGAGTTGGAAGGGAAACTGGGCATAATCCAAATCCAGAACAGCCTAGTATCCCTTCTGACATCCCAGGGCGAGGGGCTGGAGAGTGGGCGCAGGAACAAGCAGAGTCTGCTCCACCTGCTCCTGCTTGGTCCTGGGCCATTGAGCCTGCCTGCCCCTGGAGCCTCCTGGGAGCGCCTTCGCAGCTGGCGGCGCAGAGGCAGTCCCAGGGTCCAGTGCTGCCGCTGCCGCCTGGTCCAGCTGTGATTCCCCTTCTTGCACCCCGCGGCGCAGCGCGGTCACAGCTGGAGCAGGTGGGCCCCCCTCCCCTCCCAGGCCCGGTGACTGACGGCGGCGGCGGAGGCGGGGCCTGAGCCCGGGGCGGAGCCGGGAGGAGAACTGGCCCGGCTGGGGGGGGGGGAGGAGGAGGAGGAGGAGGAGGAGGAGGAGGAGGAGGAGGAGGAGGAGGAGAAGAAGAAGGAGGAGAAAAAGAAGAAGGAGGAGGAGGAGAGACAGAGAAGCAGAAGGGGAAGGCTGGCTCCCTCACCGACGGAGCGAGCTCTGCCTGTCTAAGCACCGCTCCAAGCTCCGGGGTTCGCCCAAGACGTCGGGCGCCTCGGAGGGTCAGCGGCGGAGGCTGGGCGAGCGGCAGCAGGAGAGGCAGAGGCGCAGACAAAGGCGCCGCCGCCACCGCTGGCTCGCTAGCTCTCCTGCGGGAGCGAACCTGGGCAGAAATCGAGGGTTCTCTGGGTAAGTGGCTTTTCCCTCCGCTGGCTTTCTTTCTTCTCTGCAGTTGCTGCTTCCCTTAGGAGTTCAGGGCAGGATCCCCGCGTTGCCCCTGACCCTGCAGAAGAAGGAAACGCTTAGCTACCCTTCGCCTTGCCAGCCCCAGTCTCCCCCAGCCCGATCCCCCCCGTGGAAGTTCTCCGTCGGTCCCACGGAAAGAGGGATGCCTCTTGGGCACAGCAGCTCCGATCCCTTTATGGACAGACTGGACTCGGGGTCTTGCCCAGAATGAGATTCGGAGATTTGAATGGAATGGTTGCTCTTTATGATGTGTGTGTGTGTGTGTGTGTGTGTGTGTGTGAGAGAGAGAGAGAGAGAGAGAGAGAGAGAGAGAGAGAGAGAGAGAGAGAGAGAGAGAGAGAGAGAGAGAGAGAGAGAGAGAGATTAGCGGACTGGATCGGGGAGAAGGAAAGCCGGGTTCTCAGAGGTTCACATAAGGTTCTTAAGGTTGCGTGAGGGTGATGGATAGAGCTATTTTCCGATTTTGTCACTCGATTAAATAGGCTCTGTCTTAGTTTTCTTGTCTTCATCCTCCTCTTTTCCCCCAAGAAAAGGTTAATTTAGTAGTTCCCATTCCCACTCCACGGTTTTTCCTTGTGTCATCGAGAAAATGGGGTCTGCTGTCGTGGGTCTCATAACAGAGAGCAAAGGCTCTGTGTGTGAGATAGAGCCCAGAGAGAGGTAACCTTACTGTAATTCCTCATTCTACGACTGAGTACTTCATTCTTCCCCAGACGGACTGTGAGGACAAAATCTGAGTGGTTCTTTTTGCACGGAAACTCAGTCCAATGCAGCATCTATCCACCAGCATCTTGCAATTCATTGCGCCTTATTCTTACAAGGAACCCAGAACCCGAGATAGCTTTTGCTTTTGTTCTTTCATCTACGATCCAGGAGAAAAGGTGTTAGGTAGCCTGGGGATTGTCACAAGATCTCCTTAGGAGGTGAGGAGAGAGGAGATGCAAGGGGAATGTAGGGAGAGGTCAGGGTTTCCAGGTCTCTGGAAGGCGAGAAGTGGATTTAGCGGTGCTGCTCAGAAATGTTCTTGGGACCCAGGCAGTTTGTCTTGAATTTGTTCATGAATTGGAGCATTTATCAGGCTGCTGCCTCTCAACCCATCATGTGCCTCTTCAAATGCGCTCAAAAGCTTCACCCTCCCAAGCAGTCAATTTCCATTCACATACATTTGCAAGTGACTTTCTTAATGTAACCTCCCCACTTGTCATTTAAGCTTGCTACTCTAACTTTCTCTTAAATTCCACAAACATTTATCCCTGCCTACTAGGTGCAGGGAACCTCTAGAATGGGGAATGTTCCTTTAGTTAGCATTGGCAGGGAAGGAAATAGAGATATATGGTTTAGTGTCTTTTGGCTCATGTCCATTCCCCCCTCCCTCTTCTCTCCCCAGCTAAATATCGAGCCATGCATGTGTAAGACGTCTGAGAAAACGGGGCAGCCAAGTGTCTAACCTTTCTGAACTCTTTATCGTATGTTGTAGCAAAAGCTATAACCATCTGTTCCTCCTTACTGACGACAAAATAAGAGAAAATGTTTCTAAGATGCAGAGTGAAGGATTTTGGTTAGACACAAGGAGGTTAGATCTAAGATGAGCAGCAAGGTAGAGTTGAAGTAGCTCTTGGCTAAGAATCAAGAGACCTGACTTGTAGTTCTGGCTTGGGCCAGACTCATTGGCCAAGTGGCTTTACCCTTCCAGGCCCCAACTTTTCTTTGGTGTCAAAAGAGGGAGTTGAACTAGATGATTTCTAAAAGTCCCTTTTCAGCTCCAATAGTTTATGCAGCTGGTGCAGTAGGAAGAACACTGAACTTGGAGTCATAGGATCTGAATCCATATTTTGGGTCTGCAACTTATTTATTACCTGTGTGACTGTGAGTAAGTCACTTAGCCTCTTGGGGCCTCAAGATTCTTCATCTGTAAAGGGGGGAGGTTGAACTAGGTGATTTCTAATGTCCCTCCCAGCTCTCCATCCATGATACTATCATTCTAGTGACCCGAGTTTTATTAGACAATGGAATAGATCACCAAAGAAGGTAATGGGATTTGCAATCACTCCAGAAATATGTCTTGAATTAATACAATGTGCCAGGGCAATAGGGTAGGCAGAGTGAGGGATGCAGCCTCCATCCCTAGCCTGAAAGAAGCTGATCTTTACAACAAGCTTTCCATCCCATCAAAATATGCTCTCAAAAGGGTCTGATATTTATACCAGAGCATGAATTTACTCTCCCATGGATTTGTCCTCAGGCAGTTTGCATTTTAGGAAAGGCTTTGACCCCTTTTAAAGGAGCTCTGAGCACCTGCAGGTGCTCAGGTAGAGGTGGGGAAATGTTTCTGGAAGCTGAGTACCCTCCCTAGGATTCCTAAAATCACATTGCCACTTCTTCAGCCCTCCCTGACTAGGTCTCTTCTAGCCTTTAAGTTCTACAAAAAGTTGTGACACTTTGTCATTTTTCTTTATTATGTTGTAGCTAAATTGAGGCTTTTTGTGTTTTTGGTCAGGTATCAACTTAGGAATCATATTCTTGGTTTTAGAACGTATTTGGGAATATTTTCACAGGGAGAACCCTTATTCCTCTGCAGGTCCAAAGAGGAAATTCATTCTTTTATTACTTGGTCCATTCTGTCGCAAGATTCTTGTAAGAGGGAGTGAGATACCATGTATTTTGGTATTCAAATTGATCTAGTAAGGGTCGTTATGTTGTTGTTATTGGAGTGTGTGTGTGTGTGTGCGTGTGTGTGTGTGTGTTTAAATCACCATTTGGGTTGATTTATACACAAGGGATATTGGCTGCTGATTTCTCCCTGCCCAGACTCACAGCAGCTACACTTGGTAGGCAGCAGAATTTCCCCCAGCCAGCTGCTTTTAAGCATCTGCTAATGGGCTAATGAGTAGCAAAGGGAAAAGGAAGAGGGACTGGGGGATGGGGGGGAATCTCTTTCTATCAGCAGCTGCTTAAGCAGCAGGTCAGGGGAAGCGCTTATGTCAGTAAGTGGCAGCAAGTGAGAGCAACTTCTGGAGGATAGACCTGTGAGGGAAGTCAGTATCAAACTGGAATTGTTAATCACAGTATTCAGAATGAGGTGACCTCAATCCCTGGTTGACTTCTCACTACAAGTGTAATAAGTATTCCCATAGTTTCTAGCTCCTCCTATCTGTCAACCAATAATAGCCCTATAGGACATAACTACATGCAATAACATACAATAAGACAGTTTAAAGAATTGGGAAATTAAACTAATTAAATATATAGATTCTCTTAATGGAAAGAGGCTGGGGCTTCTTTCTTATCTTAAACCAGAGCTTCCTAGTGCCAAATAGAAGTCGCATTAACTCTTTTTATACTTTCTCCTTTGGAAGTCAGATTAATTCTTTTTCCTGCTACTAGAGTGGCATCTGAATTCAAGTGTGTGCTAGAGCCAAATTGTGTGGGCTCAGAGCCAACTGTTAAATTTTCAGCATAAGCATTTATGTTTCAGAAATCAGCAAACACGCTACAAATCAGAGGCTGATTTATCGTTTTGTTGATTATGTAGCACAGCAGATAGAGATGTGGGCCCAGAATCAGGAAGACGTGAGTTCAGATATGGCCTCAGCCACTTACTAACTGTATGTCTTTGAGAAAGTCACTTAACCTCTGTTTGCCTGTTTCTTCAAAGTAAAATGGGCATAATACTAGCACTTATCTCCCACAGTTTGTTGTAAGAAGAAAGTGAAATGATATTTGTAAAGCACCTACCATAGTACTATAGAAATGCTATCATCTTATCATCATTATCTTCTTCTTCTTCTTCTTTTCCTCCTCCTCCTCCTCCTCTTCTTCCTCCTCCACCATTATTATTAAGAAAATAATGGAGAAAAAATTAATAATGCAGATTAAACTTAAAAGTGTGTCACATGTCCATTTTTCTCCAGCAAGCCAGTTGTTAAACATTCCCCAGCACACTTCTACATCTTGTATTTGTACAGCAAAGCTTTATGGGTTTGGATTCTACTAACAGTTTATAAAAGTTCCCCTGAGCCTGAACAAAAACCCCTCTATCTATAATGCATTTTCTGCCTACTAGTCACCCAGCTTTTGCTTGTAGTCATGGGGAGCCCATTACCTTATGGAACAGCCCATTTCACTTTTGGAGAGTTGTAATTGTGAGGAAGTTGTTTTTTTTTTCTTTTTCTTCAATCAAGTCAATATAATCTGTTCTATGTTCTTGATAACTAGGTCCAGGCTGGGCTGCAATTAAAATTCTGAGTAAGAGAATTTATCACCTGTACATAGTCTTGGACCCCACCTTGCATATAGTGTCTGAGAAATATTTGTTGAATGACTGAAAGAAAGGGATTGCAGGGCAAATTGCTACTAGAAAATAAAATCATTGTGGGAATGTTTAAACTACTTTATTACCTCATAATATATAATTTTTCTGGTCCAATGATTGCTAACTTTTTAAAGTGGTTTAAGGTATTCATTAGAAACCTCCCTTTTTCTGTTCACTAAAATAGGCTAAGTTGGATGTCTGTTGGGCATCACTTTTCAATGGGCATAAGGTGCTTGGCTAAAATTCAGAACATTCAGATTGTAGTTTAGGCTCAGTTACTCCTCCCTTGGATAGCTAGGCTTCCTGTACACACGTACCTTCATTTGATTATGAAAAGTCTAAATAGGTTACTTCTTAGAAACAGGTGCTAGCACACCCAGCTCTTTGAGCTACATGTGGAAGCCTACTAGCCATGCACAGCAGACTAGCCACATGTATTTACATATAATGTTCAGTTATGTTTTTGCTGCTTGTTTTCTCATGTTTCTTAATTATCATCAGGCAACATGGGTTCCATTCTCATATAAAATAGTATCAACTTTCCATCTGAGGAACATTTTCTTATCTTAAGCTACATGTCATAAAAATATGAGTAAAGAAAATTAACCAACTAGTTTTCCATGAACTTCTA